AATTGAGATGCTGCCTCCAACCCAATGCTTTTCAGCTGCGCCCAGGCATAACAAACATAGAATAATTGAGTGGTGGGCATCCATTTATGAATGAGAGATGTACACTTTGAAATTTACCGTGGAACCTGTGTTCCCTTCACCTGTCTGCAGTTTTCTTATACAGTCTACTGATAAGTGTCATGCCCTCTTGCTGCAATGAATAAATGTTGAAACTCAAGATTTGTAGTACTGTAGTACATTCTCTCAGATCAATTTGTGTTATCCTAGTATAGTAGATGTGTTTTTCAGAATACTTGAGTGTGGTGTGAGTCTGCTTTAAACCAGCCCTTATGTGCAGGGCTGGTGCAGTGTAGTGGCTAATGTATATAAGAGAGACAGGTTCAGAAGCACAGCCACTTTGCACAGAGATCAGTGCTGCTATCCATCCTCCCATGCATTGTCATTCTTGCCTCTTATCCTCTTAGCCCCTTTCTTTTCCTGTCCCAAAGAAGACCTGTGGGTATAGCTTCCATTTTTCATTTCCCCATAACTTTATTCCAGATCAGTTATTATATTAAGTGCATAAATAAGTCCTGAATAGCTTTAAAACAGTCACGGTGTGTACCTCGGCTGCCTTTTTAAAGAAACGTTATAGAGACTTGAAATTTGACGACAGTGCTCTCTGAGTGCAAGCTTATTTATAACTAATATTTATAACCTTGTTGACTGGCAAGACCTAAACTGCGCTTAGCTGCTGCTTCATTAAATAACTGTTAAGTGCAACCAGCTTGAGAAGGCATTGATGACTGTTCTTGTTTTACAGGGTGACCTAAAAACGTACCTTTGCAATGAACAGGAGAACATTAAAGGAGATTCCCAAATAATGCTGCTACAGAGGATGGCGTGTGAGATTGCAGCTGGACTCTGCATAATGCATAAACATAATTTTGTCCATGGGTATGGCTTCCAAATGAATAATGCTTTTGCATGTACATTACAGAAAAGACAAAGACAAATCCCTTAGTTCTGAAATACTAGATTTAGTAGGTTCTAAGGCATGCTGAATATAGCAGCATCCTTCTTATTTGCATTTCCCGCTACCCCTTGCCAGAGATTTGCAGTTCTGTTTCTTGTTTTGCTTCCATCCATGAGTTGGAAGATCACAAAGTGGAGGTTGTGGCTGCAGCATAGTCTTATAAATGCACACATTTCTTCAACTGAATCACAACCCCTTTTTATTTTACAGTTTATGTATGAATAAAACGTTGACATGAATGGGGCCAGTAACTGAACTGCCATTTATCCACTGAAACTCAACCCTAAGGAACCCTAAGGAAATTGCTTGTAGTCTGTCTATGCAGTGGTTGTCTGAGGTTGCCCTGAATGACTTGCACAACAGTATTCGAAAAGCAAAAGTACATACTACATTATTTTTGCTTGTTAAGAAGTGTGTTTAGCTGGCCACTTCGGTTTTCTATTTTGAAGAAAAAACAGCTGCAGGACCCTGATCTAGACCCCTTCCCCTGATTCCTGCCAAATATATCCCTCTTCCCCCCACCCTCCAGCTGCTGTTTGTTCACAAAGATGTCATTTGCAGCAGACTGGCCTAAGATCACCAAGTGAATGTTGCAGCTTCACTCATGCTTTCTAGCCAAAGTCCAATATTTGATCCATTTCACCATTCTGGTTCTCCAGGGCTCAGATAAGCACATGTGTCTGTTCCATGATGATTTTTGAATGGCTGGTGCTATATTTAAAGCTGTAATCTAATATTGTGCTGTGTCAGATGAGCTTGGCTACATTATTGATTTTTTTTTTAAACAGAGGAGCTATTATGAACTTTTGTTCTCATTGCAGTATTTTTGATATTTTTTCCCAGTGACCTAGCCTTACGCAACTGCTTCCTTACATCCGATCTAAACGTAAAAGTGGGAGATTATGGAATAGGATTCAGTAGGTATAAGGTAAGTTGACACATTTACAGAATGGCAGTGGCTAAAGTTACAAATTACTGTTTTATGTGGGCTTGCTGAGCTGTGAGCAGTTCTGTAGCTCAATAATGGTGCACATTGTAATCTCCATTTTTATACTGCTCTTTGATGCATCTGTTGGACTTGCTGATCTTATCCATCTACTCTTTGTTCTAGTGCAGTAATTTGCATATGTCAGTGGGATTGTGCCATTTAGGAGGTACTATATACTGCTGATATTAAGGCCTGTGCAATCTTGTGCTGGTAACTGAATCCAGTAGGATTAGGAACACTCTTTTAAAAATTAAAAGCAGCCTCTGGTGTTGTTCTGAGGCATAGAGAGGGCATGCTTAATCCTTCCCCTGGATGTTTTTTCTGCATCCTCCCTCCTGTCATTCCTCCAGTAAAAATGGCAAACCACTATTGACTGCTTCTCATTTAAACAGAAAACTTGTTGGAGCTTCATTTGACCTTTGCTTGCACCATGTAGTGCATTTAATGAGCATCAAATGTACCTGAATTTATATCCATACGATGATAGTCAACACTGTTTATTTAGACTTGTTTGGATGAAATATATGGCATTAGAGTGAATAAATATTATCTCAGCATGTCACACAGCTAAATTTCTCATTTTTGGTAAACAATTTAAATTTGTTTTTGCATTATAAAACCTGAGTGCCATGGATCAATAAAATAAAATACTAGGTTCCACCTAAATGCTTTAATTTAGTGGTCTAGCTACCAGTCTGTTTCTTGAGCAGTCTACTTTAATGTGGACCTACATAAACCCATAGGAGACACTGCCTGGACATTCTGATTGATTGCCCCAATCTTATTCTTCCTGTCTCCATGCTACTGATTCTGCTGTCACCAAGTTATCTCTCTGGCCACAAATGGCACTGAAGATGGTCCGTGCACCCAACCACCATAGCACTGCTCTGTTGCTACAGGATAATGTTGTACATGCTGAGCATGTAGCTTTCGCTTTCCCCCTTCCACCATATAGCTTCCACAGTGCTTCTCTGCTAAGAGACAGTAGTAGGGAGGCTGTGCAACAAGCTCAGTTCCTACGGCAGCAGTGCTGAAGTTTAGAGGCAATTATTACTTGCCAAAGATGTCTAGGTGAGCACTGAATTGCAGGTTTCCAATGCAGAAAGGCTGGCCAAAAGCTACAGAAGCCAAAAAGAGGAAGCAAAACCTCAGTTATACAGACTAAGTTAATCATTACTTATTGATTTTTCAGTTGAACTAAATCAATAGGAAATTCAGACATAGAATTAAATATTGGATTTTGCCCAATACATTTCAGAGTATTTCCACCTTCTTGGCCAAGAGATTTCTGATCATTTTTTGGTAGTGATTTATTTATGACATTTGCTTCTGAAAGACTCTACTCCAAAACACGTTGGGCACATTGCAATCCCCAATATTCCCTCCAACTTTAGCTTCATTTTGAACCTTCATTGCGTTTTTTTGGCTTTGTTTCCCTCGTGCTGACCCTTCTTTTTTGCAAAGGCAATTCAAGGGTTCTCTAATTCCAAGGAATCTGAGGCATGAGAGAACAAACAGCATTTGACAGTGTGTGGTTTTTGTTTGCCCTTTGAATTTTTTGTCTCTTTCCTTGATCTAATAGGAAGATTATATTGAAACAGATGAAAAGAAGCTTGTGCCTCTTCGATGGACTGCACCAGAGCTGGTGACTAGCTTTCAGGACAGACTGTTAACAGCTGAGCAAACAAAGTACAGTAACATCTGGTATGAAAACAATAGTCTAAGGCTTTGCTTAATTGAAAGTGTTTGGCCTGGTTTAGAGGGAGATCTTGGCCAGGGTTGGGACATCTAGATGTTGGATCACAGCTCCTGTCATTCTTTGGTTGTGCTGGTTGGGGCTGATAGGAGCTGGAGTCCAGCAATATCTGAAGGGACCACCGTCACCCATCTTTGGTCAAAATCATTGATAAGTGATTGTAGTCTTGGGCTTTGACACTACCTTTCCTCTGTGTGAGAGGGGAAAGGGAAGAGAGCTTCTGCCTTCACTTAAAGCAAACTGCGGTTTGCTGCTTTATACAAACTCAAAGAACTCTGTTTTTTTAAAAATACCATACGTTAAAAATAAACCAGAGTTTTAAACTCTGGTTTCTTGTAACTGATTGTATCCAGAACAAACCACAATCCTATGAATTCATACGTAATGGCAAACTGCTGCCTCTTTCTAAAAGGAAAATGGAAGTTTTCTGTCCTTGCACACAGAGGAGGTAGAGAGAAAATTGGCAAGGCAGAGATTGTTGAGATTGTTTCAGCCATTCCTCTGACTGACACGAGTGTGTTAGAACTGTCCAGCAGTTCCTTTGAAAACAAATCTGCAGAGTGGATTGCTAGCATGCATATATAATATATATCTCCAAAGGCCCCATTTTAATTCTACTGAAAATGTAACAGGGTTCGGATTTACTATTGAGTAGTAGAACTGAAATAGGTTTTTGCACATCATTCCACAGCTGGGTGGTTTGAGCTTTTGGGGTTAGGGATCTAGACCTTGCTAGTGAACGAGTTTCACACCTAGAGTGTTTGGTATCCCTTTTGACATAGCTTATAGACTGAGTACCATGATGGGATAATTGTGTTGTGTTCTGGCATCTTGTTATTGAAGACTTTTATTTTTGCAGGTCACTAGGTGTAACGCTATGGGAGCTTTTCAGCGGTGCTGTGAAGCCTTACTCACATTTATCTGATGATGAAGTCCTGGTGCAGGTCATAAAAGAGAAGCAGACGAAGCTTTCAGAACCTCGTCTTGAGCAGCCATATTCTGATAGATGGTAAAACTTGAGTATCTGAAGTCTATATCCAGTTATATTCCATTAATTTCATCGGTCTTTAAAATAGCTATTTAAGACTAATAGGAAAGGGCAGGTTGTGGCTCCCTGTGACCATCTAGTGGTATTGTGACTGAGCAGATATTGAATATTGGGAGGTCTGTTTTGTAATGCCAAAAATAAGTCACAGTAGTAAAAAGTTTGCAAGCACTTAATAAGTAGAAGTAAAACAATTGGCACGTTTCTCAAACTTAAGAAGACTTAATGCCTATTGAAAGGAATTGTTGTCCTGATACAGCACTGACTTTTCTTAATGGCCATTATTACCTACATTATTGAAAATGGAATATGTTGTTCTTTTCATAGGTATGAAATTTTGCAGTTCTGTTGGCTGTCGCCAGACAAGAGAGCAACAGCAGACGAAGTGCATAAGCTTCTAACGTATCTCCGTATGCAAAGTCAAAGGGACTCGGTGATTGATCCTGAACAGTGGAATGATCTCAAGCCTGATACTTCAAACAGAGAGTCCTCTGGTAACTCTGCCTTCCCAATCCTGGATCATTTCACAGGCAACAGGTTTGGCCGTGAGATGGAAGAAGTTCTCACGGTAACTGAAACAAGTCGAGGGCTCAACTTTGAATGCATCTGGGAAGCAGCCAGACAAGACCACTTCGAATGCAGCCAGGCAAATCCTGATGAGGGAATGACTTACACCAATATCTTCTTCCCGGTGGAGGTTTTTGAGAACACACTTACGGAGCAAGGACCTGGGGATCAAGTTGAAAGTGGGCAGGATGTGCTTCGTGTCCCTGGCGAACTTCCCGTGTTTAATGCCCAAAACCCTTCTGTTGGAAATGACTATTACATCCAGTTAGAAGAGAAGAGCAGAGACAATAGTGTAAACTTTGATAACCAGGATTCTATATTGATGACTGACATGGACAGTCATGCAGTTGTAAAGGACAAAAACTCTCACTTCATAGTTCTTGGGGACTTTGCTGCTGAATCCACTACAGATAGGGACTCTCTCCATTACAACACATATCCCAAGGAACAGGATTTCCATGGTCATTGTCCTGAAAGTCCTTTCCAAGATATATTTAGTGATATCGACAGAATGGAACAATTTACAGATATGAGAAATAGGTTTGAGTTGGCTGATCTAAATGATATTCATGTCGAGCTTGAAGTAGTTTCATATTCAGGTCTTGAGGAGTCTGTAGTTGATCAGCTGCAGAAGAGAAGTCCCAGACATGCTTCTGAAAGTGAAGCTGTTTGCTTGCAGGAGGATATCATAATGCAGTCCGATCCTAGCCTACTGACTTCAGAAGAGCTGTCGGATAACTTTCTTTTCCTTCAAGAGAATAATTTACTAAAGGGGGCACTGAGTAACAGAACTGGTGGTGGTGACTTAAAAAGAGCATCTGACAACACAAAAATGCTAGATCCACCAAATACAAACTCTCTGGGGGTTGAACTTAAAATGGATGGGAATTCTCCAGTCCATGAAGACGAACATTTTGTGCAAATGAGCACAAATGAAAACAAAAGTATTCCGCCCCAGCCCCTTATGCAAGGTCAAATGTCTCCTAGGTCACCTGCGATGGATAAGGAGCAGGTATCCCCCTTATCAGGAACTGAAAAACCCTCTCCTAACATAGAAGTTAATGATAACTCTGCCTGCAGTATTGATTACTCTTACCTTGACATGGATCAAGTCTCTGAAGCTGGCTTTAATGAAACGTTATCCATGAATGCCAAAAACCAAACTAATGGGAGTAGCCCCTGTCATAGCATTGCACTCCATGCTCAAGAGGAAGAAAGACAGCAGAATAAGCAGGAACTTAAATGCAATAGCAGTTCTTGGGGGGAGCTGATTGAGGATCTGAAGAATAAGCCATCTGGATTAGAGCAAGGCGATGAGTATATTCTGGAGCCAACTGACGAAGCTTTAACCAAGGTTCAGAAATGTAACAAGGAGACCCCGATCAAAGACATTGCGCTTTCGTCTGTCCTTCCTTCAGACCGTACAAGTCACGACAGCCTACTGGAGGACAGTTTATCAGCTCCCACACAGAGTATGGGGCAGTCTGTTGATACACCGGACTCCTTGGATTCATTAGATGTTATTGAGGTCTTAGAGTCTTTAGTGGGTCAGAGCCCACAGAAACCTTTGCCACCTGATAAACCTGCTGACAGTGGCTATGAAACTGAAAACCTAGAGTCTCCTGAATGGACTTCACACCTTGTTGGCAGCAACTCCAATGAAGACATGGCTTTGTCCAGTGCTGCTGGTGATGGTCTTTTGCGTGATAAGCCTATGATCATTCTGTCGTTAGATGTCAATACAGACTTAGACACAGCAAATACCATGGATACATTTGAAGGCATCTCTAAGACTTCTTTTGGTGGCATCCAGAATTCGTACAGAGATTCCGCCTATTTTTCTGATAACGATTCTGAACTAGATAAGAAATCTGAGGTTACAAATACATTGGCAGACACTCAAGTACGAACAGAGGGTGGTATGTGCAGTGACTACTTTGAAATAGAAGAGCATAAAAATGCAGAAAATCGGTCGAGTGATGATCAAGTAGCCAGTGACCAGTTGACAAAGAACTCACGCTTGCAGCTAGAGTTGGAGGAGAAGCTGGAGACCACTGAAACAAAGCAAGAGTATCTTCATAAAGGTGACAATACAGCTTCATTGCTACCTGTGGTAGAACTAGAGCCTGCTGATGAAGATGACATTGAGATCATATATGAGGATTCCCCCAGAAGTGTCTCTTGCACAGGCACTAACACAGCAGACTTCCTTCCTGAGAGCGATCTAAAGCTCACCCCTAACTTGTATGGCCCTGCTGAAGTGTTGGAAAAATCCTTAGTGTGCCACTTTGAAGGTCATAATAAGCTGAAAGAGCCAGATATTGAAGGAAAATACCTTGGTAAACTTGATGTTTCTGGGATGCTTGATCTATCAGTGGATGGGGATGATGCTGATGAAGAAGATGAGAACAGTGATGATTCTGAGGATGATATGAGAACTTTCCACTTGCATGGACTTAGCTCTGACAGCGATGAGGAAATTGTCCATCAAGTACCAGTGATCCTTACTGATAGGGATGATGGCAAACATCTAAGGAGCTTGTTAAAACATCCGAAGCCACCAGGGCAGAACAACCCTTCTGAAAACTTTATGAAGAATGAGAGGAAAGCCGTAACGTTCTTTGATGATGTCACAGTCTATCTTTTCGATCAGGTATCTGATGCTTTTCTCATTATTTGTTCTCTAAAATGTAAGTGCCTGCTGGTGGTGGAAAGGTCACAATCAATTTGGAAACCTTGGGCTCACTGTGGCAAATGGAAGTTTGTGCAAGGATGTAGGGGAGGAGAAGACAGAATAGCCACATAATCTCGGAGGCCAGAGTTTTCATAATCTTACTTATGCAAATATTTTGTTGCAGAAAAAAAAACCATAGAATCTAAATATTGTGTGTTTGTGGGAGTTCATGATAGAGATCAGAGAATCTGGGGAAGAGTGCTGTTAAGCTCAGGCTCTGCTTGTGTGTTTCCCATGGACTTTTGGTTGGCCACCGTGAGAACAGGATGCAGGGCTAAATGGGCCCCTGGCCTGATCCTGCAGACTCTTCTTGTGTTTTCAAAAGCTGTGCAAGTAATGGATATGCACACTGATCACAGTAAGCCATAAAAAGATGTGCTCAATTTGATCGTGCCCACGCTGCTGTCTCTGGTTTAGCACGATGTCCAAACTACAGATTGCGGTTCTGCTCTGATGAACCACGGTTCCTTTTGGAGTGAAACAAACCTTAAAAAGGTAAAGGTACCCCTGCCCGTACGGGCCAGTCTTGACAGACTCTGGGGTTGTGCGCCCATCTCACTTAAGAGGCCGGGGGCCAGCGCTGTCCGGAGACACTTCCGGGTCACGTGGCCAGCGTGACAAAGCCGCATCTGGCGAGCCAGCGCAGCACACAGAACGCCGTTTACCTTCCCGCCAGCAAGCGGTCCCTATTTATCTACTTGCACCCGGAGGTGCTTTCGAACTGCTAGGTTGGCAGGCGCTGGGACCGAGCAACGGGAGCGCACCCCGCCGCAGGGATTCGAACCGCCGACCTTTTGATCGGCAAGCCCTAGGCGCTGAGGCTTTTACCCACAGTGCCACCCGCGTCCCTTACACAAACCTTAGTTTGGGTGTAATGCTAAGGCCAGAGATCGTGATTTGTTTCCTCTTCATACAGTTTGGTGCTTTCACAATAAATCATTGCCACAACACATAAGCTGTGTTAAATCATAAAAGAAAGTGAAAAGCCTGGATTCCTGTTGTCCCACATGATTTTTAAGGGTTTGAACTAAGATGGACGAGTGGAGTTGATCGTTCATTCTAAAATAAGAGCATCATAGAACAAGTTTATCAGCTCCTCGATCTATCCTGTTTAGTCCATGCCACATTTGTGACAGAGGTAGGTAAATACAATTAAATATAACTAAAATATTCAGATTACCTGTAATTTTCCTAGTCAGTGTCCCACTAAGATGTGGCCTTCTCTAAAGAAATATAGCATCCTGAGCCATGCTGCATTAACTGTATGAAACTCTCCTCCTGATTGCACTAAATGGCAATGATTTAAGCAAAGAAGCACACGGGGCTTGAAACAATTGGTGGTCACTGTAACCTACAGTTGTGATTGTGAGGAACACTGGGGTTGCCTGTAGTTCTTTGAGTTAGAACAGTTGTGTGTGTACACTCCCTCTCCCTCTCTCTGAAAATAGTTGACCTACTTTACAGAAGTCCAAGGTTGTGTATCTAGTTCCTACTTCTGTAATAAGATAGGCCACAAGGTGCCTTTTATACCTTGTGGGAAAGCAAACTAGCACAGCAAATTGAGGCCTTTAATTATATAAAAAAGCAACAAAACATAAAAAAACCAAACCTCTAGAAATGAACGATGATTAGGTTTGCGGAATGGTGCAGAGTTTCTTAACTTTTGAGTGCTGTCCAAAATAATTGAGTTATGTTTTACCAAGATCTTTTGGTCTGTTGAGCCACACAAAAGGTTTTATACGGTAGGAATCTTTTTGGTACTTGGGGGTGCTGTATTGTGGGAGCTGTGGTTCTTTCTGGAAGTCTGGTCACAGAAGATGTTACTGGCTGTTGGTAACCCTCCCCGTGTATGGTGACTCCCCATACCAAAAGTTTCCCCATCAGGCAATTAGGTTTGAAGATGCCTTTATTTTGAGGTGAAGGTGAGTGTATGGGATCCCCCTACAGACTTTCAGCTCTGGTTGCACCTATTTTTGCGTTAGCCCTGCCCACGTCAGGCTTGCAGCCCCTGGAAAGAAGAGTACGGTAAATGCCATGCAGTAACAACGGTAAACAATTGTAAAATGAAATGCATGATGATGCAGTTGCTAGCATAGATAGCTCAGTTGGTTAGAGCGTGGTGCTGATAATGCCAAGGTTGCAGGTTCAATCCTCATATGGGACAGCTGCATATTCCTGCATTTCAGGAGGTTGGACTAGATGATCCTCAGGGTCCCTTACAATTCTATGATTCTGTGAAATTGGTGGGTAGTACATCAACATCCCCACCCCTATCCCCCCAAACCAAGAAAATCTGGGCTGCTTTGAAATACCACACTGTAGATCTTCAATATGGTTTCAACTGGTGAAGCATCACATGCATACGATAATGGAAGTAATAGTATTTCTTTGGATTATTTTTTAGGAAACACCAACCAAAGAGCTCGGGAATCGTGCTACAGAATCAAACCACTCGGATTCTGATAACACTCCTGTTCCTGCTTCCGGCCCTGGCTACTTGAATAAATTTACAAATTCAGAAAGTTCTACAGATGAAGAAGGTACTTAATATTTGGCTTGCAAGTTTAAGTGTATTCCTTTATAAAATTAAGGTGCAGAGTTCCCAGGCAAAACAAGTACATTTTCTTCCACTCGTTTCTTTGCTTGAATGCTTGTTCTAACTGACCGTGTTCATTGGTGATGTAGATAACTTTGAATTTTGTATTACGACCAATGATTAATCTAAAACCAAGCTTGCTTCAGTTTAATCCAATTGCAGTTTCCTCATAAAGATGTTGGTGTTAACAGTGATCTTAAAAGGAGGACCATGGCTTAGTAGCAGAGCTTTGCATGCAAAAGGTTTCTGGTTCAACTAACGACATCTCTAGATTGGATAGGGATAGTAATCTTGTCTGGAAGCCTAGAGAGTTGATGCCAGACAGTTCTGTGCCAGATATGCCAATGGGGTGTCTCCTTATGAGGCAGCTTCCTCTGTATAGATAGGATAACCGCTCTTACTTTGTTTTAACTGTCGTTTCCTTTCACTTGTGAAGCTTCTGTTGATGCCTTTAGAATTTGCTTGGTCACCCACTCTATTGACTATCTGAAAATAAAAGACAAAGCTCCGAAATAACTTTTAAATGTTGATCACATGCTGAACAGAAATTCCACTTTTCAGTGTAAATATTCAGATTTAAGTTAAAATTTAAGGAAGTGTGGTGGTCTGTAAGGAGAAAACCAATCAGAAGAGTTTGTTCCTTGTATACCATCTATCCCTAACAAAGAGAATATATAAGGGAATCTGGTGACATACTGTGTGCTTCACTTTGCAAAAATCAGTGTAATGCATCACCTTATTTTTTATAGGCCCCTATTTTGCCCATGTGTCTACCTAAGGATTCAAAAATCTGGTTTTGTGCTCTTAGAAGTAGGAAAATATAGCATGTGTGTACTTCATTATCATATGTCCAATTTTGCATACAGTTCATCTGCTTCAGTTGATGCATTTAAAGATTTCTGATACTGGCTATAACCCTAATCCACAGAGAGAAGAGAATGTTCTCTGAACTAATTGCAAGTTCCATTCCCTGGAGATTTCGGCATTTTCTCCAGATTTTTATTTTATTTTAACATGTGTGTGATTTGTTCTAGGTGGAGGTTTTGAATGGGACGACGACTTCTCTTCTCCAGAGCCCTCTTTCATAGCAAAGGCAGCAAACAGCCTCATTAGTTCCAAGCCTTCTCTTCAGACCTCAAAGTACTTCTCCCCACCACCGCTGCCTCGAAGCTCTGAACAAAACTGGTCGAATCCTTTACCTTACTCCAGGTTCTCTATCTCTCCAGCAAACATTGCAAGCTTCTCGCTCACTCACCTTACGGATTCTGATATTGAACAGGGAGGCAAGTATTTTCCTTCAAGCACTAGTTTGTTACATCAGTATGGTTTTTCGAGCAATGCTTGCTCAAGCGATTATTAAAAGATGATAAAATCTTGAGTAAGGATAGTAGATCCTGTTCTACCTTCTCCCCATCCTTTTCCTAAATAGCTGCTGCCTGTTGTTGTTGTTGCTGTGTTGTTGTTGTTGTTGTTCATGGCTCTCCTTTGTAATCCCTGTGTATTTGACTTTCCTGATTTATACCTACTACTTCCTTTTCTTTGGCGTCATATTGTAGCTTGCCTGTAGAAGTGGCTTCACTGTGTGGCAAGGTGGGTGGATTTTAGGTGGCAGAACAGAGAGTAAAATCTCAGGTAGATATGTCTGGCCTATGCAGCCCAGCCAGGTGGTTCTTTTGCCCAGTCTTCACTGGAAACGAATAGAAGTGGTGCAAGCCCTGAACTGACTCTGTTTTGCCCAAAAGAATTCCCAAGTCCTTTGGAATTTAAAGCACACCAAATAAGCAAGTTCACGACTGGCTAGATTATTATTATTTTTAATCATAAAACTAGGATATTTTTGAGCACTTAAATGCCCCTGGTGCTTGTGGGTCCTTGGTGTTTGGTATACGAGCTTATATTAGGTTCAGCAGAGTGCTGATTAGATAGGAGTATTTGCTTGTTTATCATTAAGGCCAGTGTTTAAATAGTGCAGTTAGCTCTATTATGTCCTGACATTGAAGTGTGCGATTTAGACAGTTGTGCCTGACAGACTTCCAGCTGTGTCCCTGGGGTTGATTTCATAACAGGAGATGGATAATTCAGGTGCTTTTTAAACATCAGAACCTCACTTTTGGAGGGGGGGGGGAAACAGCCCAAACTGCTGTGGAACTATTATGGTACAATCTGTATTTGATTTGCACAAAAATGCACCCGTGTTCTTTTAAATACTTTCACACCCGCCTGCTGCAATTTCAGCAGAGCTTGTCCAGGAAAAGGTCCCTGGGAAACAGGCCTTGAGAGGAATCCACAGTCTTAAGGAACTCATACTGGAGACAGAATATCCAAAGCCTCACCCTCTAATAATAGCCTTGTGTCTCTTAACAGGGAGCAGTGAAGATGGAGAAAAAGACTGAAGCTTCTTCCTTCGGTGAATGGTCATCGTTTTGTGGGGGGGTCACTTCTGCTTTTTGCCTAACAGCCAATATTTTCATTTTCAAAAACAACGACTACCCTCTTGCATCTGAAAACAAAGCAGACCTGCTGAAATCCAATAATCAAGATGTTTGCACACCCTGAAGGCAATGTTAGATCAAGACCTGAACTTCAAGGTGGATGTTACTTTTTGTAGTGTACTGTTTTTTGTTTTTTTTGAAAACTGGTGCATTTTGCATTTCCTTTAAAAATATATATCATGTGCTAGCTTTCCCCTTCTCCCCCCTCTCCTACCCCCAAAGTACTTGAAGTATCCTCCAGACAATTTGTAACAAATATGTACAAGTTATGCTCTGGTTTATATATAGGATTGTACCATACCCTTTTGTATTCTCAATGTATTATCCATATGAACATGTAAAATTGTACATAGCTGAGCAGAAGGTGGCTATGTCACTTGAAGCTGCCTGGCCTGAGAGCTGTTGTGTAGAAAGCCATATTTCAAAGACTTCACACCTTGCTTAGCTGCAGATGCACTAGTAACTGCCCTTCCCAGGTCCCTCTGCATTGTACAAAGCCATTCTTCCTTGCTTCTTGATTGATGGAAGTTGTTGGGGTCCTTTACCTGCCTAACTGTTTTGCTTTGTGCTCCTGTGCCCCTTTTTTGCACAGCTTACTTGTTGGGGTGTACAGAGCTTGAGTCTTCCTGTTTTTATAATTTCTGGAGCTTTGTATGCTATCCACTTTTCTAAAGGGGCAATTCACTTTCTTATATTCCCATCTGCAGTACAGTGGTCGGCGAATTGACTTTTTAGTTATAGTTGGCTTAAAAAAAAATGTGGTGGTGTAACATTCTTCTGTTTGCTTCCCTCTGCACCCAAGATGTCTGGAAGACTCAATATCCGTGTGTGTGTGTGTGTGTGTCCTTAAATGATGGTCTTGGTTACTGGGTAACTTCTTGAATCGCTCATCTCATCTTCAGGGAAGTGTTAACATTTCTGCGGATGCAATGCAAAAGGGGATGTGTTGACTCACGCAGTTGCTCTTTCTCTTTGTGTTTGAAGTTGGGATTCTCTAAAGAAGCAGCTTTAGCAGAGCAGGCGTCACCTGTGGATATTTGAGAACCAATCTTCAATAGGGATTTGGGTCTTCTGTGCCTGCTGTAGTTGGCACATACTGCAGGTTTCCATGCAAAACTAGTAGTTCTAATACCTTAAGGATGGCTAATAGAAACTTAAGGGCTAATTGGCAGTGTGTTGTTAGACCCAGATCTTCCAGAGCTTTTAAATCCCTTGCCGGAGCCCTGTTCTGCTAATGGAAAGCTACTCTGGCATTCATAAAATAGGAAGGGGTTTAGTGTATAGCTCTCCTAAGTGTGGTGAACTCAGAATATAAGCTGCAGGGTCCCGTCCCCCCCGTCTCGCTCTTAAAATGAGCACTTGAGCTGTAAAATATGTTTTGCAGCCTCAGCTTTGGCAGTGGAAGACATGTGTAAAAAAATGTTTTCTTTTGTTTTTTAAAAAATTAAGCTATCCAGCTGACCTGCACAGGTTTCTTTCTGCTTCAGGTCTGAGGACATCTGTAAATGGCATGAAAATTGGTAGCTTTTAAACCTTCTCATCAAAGAATGTATGAAAGTATTGAGGGTTTTCCTTTGCCGTTCTCCTTCAGCCAGGCTGGTTCTCATGAGCCCTGTGGAGGGCAGAAATTGAAGTGCATTAAAATTGTGAGTTATGGACTCCCCCATTACACAAGGAACTCGTTTGTCTAAAGAAAAATTAATAGAACAGCTTGAGACATGTATTGCTTCAAGCATTTGCCCGCAACATGATCTCATGTGCCATTTTTTCTCTAAAGCTATACTGTCTGTTTGGAGTATCCCACAATGTTTGTTCTTGGAAGAGCAAATTTTAATGTGCACTGAATTAATTTTCAAAATACACATTACAACCTTGGGTCTATTTGGAATGGTTGTTCCTCTCTTGGACAGGCCTGAGTCAAGTAGGGAGATTTTTAAAGTCGGATTAGGTTGTTTTCCCCCCTCTTTCTGCTTTTTCTTAATGTAATAAAATTAAAAGCAAGGAAACACGAAAGTGAACCTTCCCTACTGAGTTTTCAACAATAGATGGAATTGTGCAGCAGAAAGTATAGGCCCCCTAACTTTGTAGTTTATGACTTCAGACTTAGTTTATGGCAAGGAGATAAGCTGTGGCTCTCTAGATGCTGTTGGACTCCAACTCCCATCAGCCCCAGCCAGCATAGCCAATGGTTAGGGATGATGGGAGTTTGAGCCCTATAGCCTCAGGAGAGGAACAGCTTAGCCACCCCTGGTTTATGGAGTAAAAGGGTGCATTGGTAGTGTTCTTTGCTTTTATCCAATATTTTTTTAAAAGTCTGAAAATTATGAATAGCCTAATCTCACTTGTGTGCATTCCTCATGACTGCATTTTCTCTGGGTGCCTGAGGCATCTTCCTGCCCCCTTTTGCCAAAAATCAGCACTCCAGAGTCTCATGCTGCAGATAGAAATTGGCTTGCTTAGTCCCAGATTGGAATTCACACTGGGAATTCACACAGTTTGGAGATACAGCCAGCGACAAGCCTAACATCTGGTGCATTGAGTGGCTTCAGGGCTGTCGGGGGGGGGGGGCATTAGAAAACACTTCCTGGAATGGGAGGCTTAAAAAAATAAATATCTCCACAGACTGTGATGGAACCTAACACACACTTGTTGCTTTGGCCATATGAAATGCAAACTCGCTATCTCTGACGCTTGCTCTTCCACTCTGTGGTGAGAACTCAGAGTGCATTTGTGTCATTAGCAAGACAGAATTTCAGAGTACATCCCATGAACACAAAACTCTCTCATAGTGGGCAAAACAATATTGTGAGGCACCTGTAACTAACCAAAAGCTCTTAAAACGAGTACATTTTAAAGCTCGCACACACACATGCACACAAATCCAGGCTAGTAGCCCTAACACGTCACTTGAAGACCAAATTTATACCTTTTAAACCATGTAGGGGTTCCTTTACTGCATGGTTCACAAGCTGACTTCTGTGTCCTTTTTTGCACCTTAGTTACCCAGACGACAGTTCTGCGTCTTGCAAGATTTGAGCAGGTTAGCATTCGTTGTGATGGTTGCGAGTAACAGTTCTCTTCAAGGGGGCGGCGGGGTGGGGTGGGGTAGTTGTATGTTTCCTTCAGACTTAAAAGCCTGTGTTTTTAAAGGAGGATAGTGACTTAAGGACCAGATGTGCAAATCCAAGAATTAAAACGAGGGAATCTTTTCCCAACTTTTGCTGCTGCTGCTGCATGTGTTTAGGGTTCCTGCTACTCTCCCCTTCCCCGCTGCCCCCCAGTAGATCACCTGTACATTTTAAACAGCTGCATGTTAAAACTTTTAGCAAGCAATTCCACCCTGACCCACACCCCAGTTTTAAGGATGAATTGCTAGGAATAATCTTTGTTGTAAAGTTCTCCTCCTGTGTTTCTTCTGAAGGCACCAGAGCCCAGCCAGAAAGTTTTGGCTGTTGAAAGGGTCTCTTGTCTTTGCTGCTCCAAGGAAGAGTCACTTGGGGAACAGAGCAAGGCGTTAGCAATAGCTTATTTAACACTAAATTTTGCGGGGTTGTTAAGAAGCCCTGGAACCAGGAGCAGCAGCGCCACACTTGCACCGGTGCAGCTGTGCTCTTGCTGTTCTCCTGCAGGGGCCGTGGGGCGTGCATGTGTTTTGCAAATTGGAGCTGGACTTCTCATAATGGCCAGGGTAGTGTAGCAGTTCAAAGAGGCTCAGGCTGAAAGATGGAGGGTGGTATCCAATGCCACTTGTACTCAGAGTAGACCCGCTGAAAGTCAGTCAAGTTCATTCATTCCAATGGATGTATACTCTTGAGTTGGGCTAGCTTTGGATACAACTCAGTAGGTCATACGTTCCCTCACATAGATCCCACCCCTGTAAAGTAACATTTGTAATGCAGCAGTTCAAAATGAAGAGAGTTTTAATTGATAAATAATTTTCCAAGTTCTGTGCACAAGTGAGAAGGGGAAAGCCACCGCTTTTATTGGAAATGAATGGATTCTTTTTTAAAAACACTTAATGAAGCACTAATGAGAGCCATTCATGCCTACTTTTTAAAAATCAGTATTTTAGATTGATTTATATGCAGTTCTGATTCGTTTGTCTGTTTTTGAGAGGGAGACAGCTTAGTTAGGAAGGTTTTTTCGGGAGGGGGTAGACACAATTATGCACTCAGTTTAAAATTGCATTGCGGGTAAAATGGCTATTTAGATTGGAAGGTGGAATTGGAAATTTATTAGCCTTATAAGAAATAGCCTTAAAAATAAGAATGGAGTGTAAAAAATAAAAATAAATAAATTCAGCTTTAAGTTGTATAAAATAACCTTTCTTTAAAAATAAGAATCAAGTCTTTAAGGGCAAATTGTTGAGATGAGAGTACAGAAGAGAGGAGAAAGTGTTCAGTACCACCAGCCCGGTTTTTGTTTTTATTTTCAAATGAAACTTGAATGAGTTTAAGATGTTTGGTTCCATTTAATAAATCGTCTGATCTTGCACAGTGGTAGCTGTCACATAATGGTAAATGGTATCTGTGTGTATATACAATGTTTTACTCTATTTGTAAATGAGGAAATTTATGTTACAAAATCATAGGGGAGAGGTTTTCCTATTGGAAATTTAATACAGGTATGAGGTTTATGGCAATATTCTAGTCAATGAAATTTCAGGTCGAATTTGTCTTTAAATTGTGTAAATTTTAAAACTGTAATATTTCTACTGTACATTGATCATGCATAGTGTGATTCAAGACTGCTTGTAATTTAAAGAACCTTATTTAATATGCAAAATAAAAATAAAGGTATATATTTATAAATCCTGGTGTCCCATCTGCATTTCATACTGTGCCACCTACCTGAGGCAACGTGAAGCTTTCACCAATGAGCTATGGTTCCTCCTTGCCTTTGGGTATATGTCAAGTGGGGGGATTGTTACAATAATGACGCCACATCTTTTTTCACTTTTTAAAAAATCTGTTGATGCAGGAGATTTTAGGATTAAGTTGTTTTACAAAGTACCGTCAACCAGTCTTCAAGGTTGGGGGGTGGCACAGACGTTGACAGCTTGCAAGGGTGAATAGAACAGGTTCTTCAATTATGGCATTTGATCATGGTGAAGGGAGCACAGCCAGATATCAGCAACAGGATTGACAAGTTTTGAGGACTGGCCCTGGTACAAATGGCATGCCACACGCCTGCTTTTTCCTCTTTCTCCTGGCTGTGTTGTGTCCCTTGGGTTTGCCATACCTGCTCTCGCTCAGGCCTGATGCCATTGCTGTGGTGGCAAACACTATCAACTGCTACCCAAAGGTGGGTTGCTTCTGCTGCGGTTGCTTTTTCTCTAGTACTCTGGCACGGATTGCTTGTGTCGGAGTTGAGCATTTGAGCTCAACTAGTTGCACATTTGGAGGGGACGCGGGTGGTGCTGTGGGTTAAACCACAGAGCCTAGGACTTTCCGATCAGAAGGTCAGCGGTTCGAATCCCCGCGACGGGGTGAGCTCCCGTTGCTCGGTCTCTGCTCCTGCCAACCTAGCAGTTCGAAAGCACCTCAAAGTGCAAGTAGATAAATAGGTACCGCTCTGGCAGGAAGGTGAACAGCGTTTCCATGTGCTGCTCTGGTTCGCCAGAAGCGGATTAGTCATGCTGGCCACATGACCCAGAAGCTGTACGCCGGCTCCCTCGGCCAATAAAGCAAGATGAGCACTGCAACCCCAGAGTCGGTCACGACTGGACCTAATGGTCAGGGGTCCCTTTACCTTTACCTAGTTGCACATTTGAGCTGCAGGGAGCACATCCAGCTTTGTCACTGACAGGTGAGAAGATGTTGCTTCACCTGAAAGCAGCACTTTTTTAATAATATTAAATAATATTTAATATTATTTAATAATAATAATAATAATAATAATAATAATAATAATAATAATAATAATAATAAATTAGTTATACCCCGCCCATCTGGATGGGGTTCCCCAGCCACTCTGGGCGGCTTCCAGCAGAATATTAAAATACAAGGATTCATCAAATATTAAAAGCTTCCCTAAACAGGGCTGCCTCTGATGTCTTCTAAAAGTCTGATAGTTGTTTATTAAGCTTTATTCAGCTTCGTTAAAAATTCTAAGTGGCTAATAAAAGATCAAAACACCCAGAGACCAGATACGAGAGCAGCCAAATTATATAAAAGAGCAGAATAAAAAAGGGGAACCCAATGCCTTTTCATGACTACATGAGTGTGTGGTGGTGTTTTCAATCTTTGTTTTTGTATATCACTTTTGAGCTCATTTTTGGGAAGGAAAAATGACTAATAATTAGTAATGCAGGTAATGTAGGTTTCATATACAGGGCGTTCTAGTGTATGCGACTTGGGGGAATGCAGTCAGTAATTTGCTCTCCTCCATGGTTCATCATTTTACTTGTGGCTCCGCCCAAACCACTGTATCTGGATTTAGATGGAACTAGCTAATAATAATATTTAAAAAATAATTAATTAATAAAAGATAGAAATAAATTATTCAAGCCTGAAGTCTGCTTACTCTGGAGTTGCAGAGCTCATCTCGCTTTACAGGCTGAGGGAGCCGGCGTTTGACCGCAGACAGTTTTTCCGGGTCATGTGGCCAGCAGGACTAAGCCACTTCTGGCACAACGGAACACCGAGACCAGAGCAGCGCATGGAAATGCCATTTACCTTCCTGCCAGAGCTGTAACTATTTATCTATTTGCACTGGCTTGCTTTCAAACTGCTAGGTTGGCAGGAACTGGGACCGAGCAACGGGAGCTCACCTCGTCACAGGGATTCGAACTGCTGGCTTTCTGATCAGCAAGCCCAAGAGGCTCAGCAGTTTAGACCACAGTGCCACCCACAACCCACTTTACTTTAAGGTCCCTAGCTATTTAAGGCTTCACTGGAGGGGCGGAGGACCTATAACTATCCAGAGGTTATTGGACTCCAACTCCCATTTGCCTCTGCCAGCCTGGCCCAATGGTCAGGAATGGTGGGAGGAGGAGTCCAGCAGCATCTTGAGACTCCCAAGTTCCCCATTCCTACTTTACAGGTAAGAACAGGGCCTTGAATTGAACCTGAACAACCCAATGGATGGGTTGCCAACGAAGACCACGTTACCAATATGTTCATTCAATCCAACTTCAGGGTAACGCCCATTTCTCTTTACATATGTTGGAAGCACGTTGTTACACATCCGTATACAAATGTAATTTATAATAATTGTATGCCTTGCTTGTGATGGAAGAATGCATTGATGGCTGCTTCCACAATGGGCTAGAGCAAGAGCAGGCATGGCCAAACTTCACCCTCCAGATGTTTTGGGACTACAATTCCCATCATCCCTGACCACTGGTCCTCTTATCTAGGGATGATGGGAGTTGTAGTCCCAAAACATCTGGAGGGCCGAGTTTGCAGATGCCTGAGCTAGAGAGTAACACTCGTGTGTGATTTGTGTGCAGGTTCCCTGACAGTTTGCAGTTTTTCTATGTGGAAGAAAGCAAAAAGTTGTGTGTGTGTGTATCTTTCTTCCAAGTGTACCTACTTTCCAGGGACAGTCCCAGATTAACAAGCCATCCCAGTTTTTGATCTGATCCTGGAATGTCCCACTTTTCCTTAGGACGTCCCTATTTTCATCGGAGAAATGTTGGAGGGTATGGAGTTATGCGACCCCCGAGCCAAGGAGATAAGTAACTATACAACCTTTAGAAGACATCTGAATAGAGTAGAATAGATGTGGAATAGAATAGAAGACATCTGTATAGAGGTTTTTTAATGCTTGATTTTTTATTATGTTTTTATATATGTTGGAAGCTGCCCAGAGTGGCTGGGGCATCCCAGTCAGATGGGTGGGGTATAAATAAGAATAAGAATGATCATTACTGCTGCTCTTATGATTATTATTGAATAGGACATCCCTATTTTCATCAGAGAAACGTTGGAGGGTATGGTGTGTGTGTCAGGCTGACCTATCCCTGATTGCTTCACTTGGTTGGCTGAGAAACAGCAACGCATTTCATGGCTGCAAGGCCACCAGCCTCCCCCCTCTGCTGCCCACTCTCTCTTGTGCAGCAAACAAAGGGGGGGTTGCCCATGTTGCTTCTGCGATCCCTGCCCACAAGGCATAATCCTTGCTTAGCTTTAGCCACATGGCGAAACACTCTTATAATTTCACAACGGCCACACACACCTCTTGGCTTATTTGCAAAAGACTTGACCGAGCCAAACTCCTCCTCTCTCACCTGTTTGTGCGTTAAAGTGACGTGTCCTAGCCCCGGTAAGCAGTCTGCAGGAGGTAGAGGAATTCAAAGCACTTGCTCTCCTGGATGTGAGCACCTGGCTCACTGACCACGCCGGCTTGGAGTTAAGGATGCTGCTGCCGTCATCTGCCCCATTGCTGGGTAGGTATCCGCCCCATATTTTATATTTTATTCAGAACCGCTCACAATTGAAAATCCTGGTGGAAAGACTGGAATCTGAACAGGAGAGCAATCAAGGGAGGTTGATCACACACATGCTCTTAAAACTATGTGCAAAACGTTGCATTTTTAAAAAATCCATTCTTCTTTTAGAATGGGTCTCGTTCTGGATCAGGAACATCTTTTACTGGTCCTAACTTTGCCAGGGCTCAGTGTGGGGTGTAGCTAATTAAGAGTTTGGGACCAAAATCGCCAAGAAGCCTGACCTGTCTCTCAGCCTAGCTGTTGTGATGACAAGTTATGGAGGGGGGAGCTATGCATGCGGCCCTTTGGCTCCTTGGGGAGGGGGACGTGGAATGTGAACAGAATAATGAGAAAGAGGAAGCTCTTGAGTATGTAGCTTTTTGCTGGAGATCTTTAGGGGTGCAGTTGCAGCAGTGTAAGGCCCCATCTACAGTGGTACCTCGGGTTACAGACGCTTCAGGTTACAGACGCTTCAGGTTACAGACTCGGCTAACCCAGAAATAGTACCTCGGGTTAAGAACTTTGCTTCAGGATAAGAACAGAAATCGTGCAGCAGCGCCGCAGCAGCAGCAGCGGGAGGCCCCATTAGCTAAAGTGGTGCTTCAGGTTAAGAACAGTTTCAGGTTAAGAATGGACCTCTAGAATGAAGTTCTTAACTCGAGGTACCACTGTACATGATTCATTTAAAGCAGCACCATACCACTTTAAATAATCATGGCTTCCTGCAAAGAATCATGGGAACTGTAGTTTAAAGGTGCTGAGTGTTGTTCGGAGAGCCCTAGTAACCTTGCAGAGCTGTATTTCCTAGAGTTCCCTGGGAAGAGGCAATGATTCTTAAGCCACTCTGAGAACTGTATTTCCGCGAGGCGAATGGGGGTTTCCTAACAACCCTTAACAACTCAATTTCCCCCAGGATTATTTGGGGGGGGGACCCTTGTAAAGTGGTCTGATGCTGCTTGGCATGTACAATGCATATGGGGACCTAAGTCATGAAAAGAGAACACTGCTAGCACAGGGAAGGGCGCAGTGCTAGGACACCTGCTCTGCATGTAGAAGGCCAATAGTTTAATTCCCCAGCATCTCCAAGTATGTTGAAGAATGTCCCCAGCCTGAAACTTTGGAGACTCACTGCTAGTCAGTGTAGACAGTACTGTGCTCAATGGAGCCTTTGGTCTCATGTGGCGTAAGGCAGCTTCCTAAAGAGGGGAGAGAGGGCAGGAGTCATGCCCAACAGACTCCCTGCGCCTTGTTCTGCTGCACCTTGTGCACTCAGCAGGGAACTGCAGCCCAATGCAATTGCCTGTTGAACGTACTTTATACATACCTGAGTATTTGCTGTGCTCACGTGTTACATATTATCGAGCAAAAGCAGCAACCCAGAACAGTATGAGACTCGTCATCTCAGGGTTCTGGGTTCAAGTCCCGCGTTCCTGCATTGCAGGGGGTTGGGCTAGATGACCCTTGTGGTCCCTTCGAACCCGACAGTTCTATTATTTTATGGTGCTGTTAGGAGATAAAGAATAAAGCTTGGAAGAGAGGGGCAGCAGACCCTAAGTTAAAGGCAACCTTGGAACAGTATGGGCAGCTCTCCTATCCTTGGATAGCTGGGGTTGGATGCCTCCTACAGCCGTCTGCTCACCTTTGAGGACTTAGGAAGTGGACAGCATATGAACTTGCCTGCTTTGTTTTTGTCGCTGCTAGTATTTAATCAAACTCTGCTGAGTCAAATGGTTTAATTGCTCTGCTCTATATAGAGAAGCCTAGCTTACTCCCCCCCCCCTTATTGGCATTTTGCCTCTCAAAAAGGTTGAGCATGGTCTGAGTTGACCTCCTTGCCCGAAAACCTCCCCTTGAATACCCAACTGTTTGGATAATGGGAATCTGCCTTAATACCAAGTCAGATCCATCCAACTCACTGTTGTCTACACTGACTGGCAGTGGCTTTCTAGGTGTTCAGACAGGGAGTCTCTCACAGCCTTACCTGGAGTTGACTGGGATTGAACCTGGGACCTTCTGCATGTGGGGCAGATGTTCTACAGCTTAGCTACAGCCCTCCTCTCAAATATAGCTGCTTGGTTTGGTTGTTGTTCAATGGTGAAGACCATTCTCTCCAACATGGATTCATATGTAGCAAATGTTTCCAGAGACCAGGCTTGGGTCATAGTAACTTGATGGCTCCATTGCTTCTAGAAATTATGAGTTCATCCATCTAGCTCTACCAATCTACCCCTTTTATGGATGCTGTTAGTATCATAGAAATAGAATGGGATCTAGACACAGCAGTGGGAAATCCACATCCCTCCAGAAGATGTTGGACATTGTCCCATCGTTCCTGGCTGTTGGCCATGCTTGCTGAGGCTGGTGGAATTCCAACCACATCCAGAGGGCCACAGGTTCCCCATCCCTGATCTAGAAAGTCGATAATCTTTATCTGTCTCAAGATTACTCAAGAAAGTCTGCAAAACGTTGAGTTTGAGCTTTTCAGCTTCCAATAGTCAGTAGTCAGTAAGTCAATACCAGCTGCTGGAAACCGCAAGAAAGGCGAGTGATCTGGTGCTCACATCCAGCTTGCAGGCATCTGGTTGGCCACTGTGAGGGCAGGATGCTGGACTAGATGGGCCATTGGCCTGATCCTGCAGACTCTTCCCCTGTCCAGGTGTTGAATTAGAATTCTGAAATGCTGATCTGCTGCTTGCATTTTTCTGCTATTGCAATTTACACCCAGGCAGAGGGAGGTTCTGGTGCTAATCCTTCTTTCAGATTTCCCCATCTCAGCTTGAGGTTCTTTATGGCAGGGATGGGAGGGAACTGGTTGCCCCCCCCCAGTGTTCTTGCACTCCAACTCCCATCAGCCCCCACAAGCATGGCTAACAGTTGGGGATGAAGGGAGTTGCAGTCCAGAGATGCCTAGAGCATCCACAAGCTTCTCCATCCCTGGGTGAGAGTGGCGAGAGACTTGGAGCTGCTCATGTGGTCCAGCTTTCTGCTTGACCATGAAGCTCACTGGGTGGTTCTTGGGCAATTGGGTATTTTCCAACCTCTTTTACTTTGCAGAGTTGTGAGTGGGATAAATAGGATGAGCCCAAGTGTGTTGCCTGAGCTCCCTTTGAGGAATGGCGGGTGCAGATGAGAAAGATAAACATTGGCTCTGCATCTATTGTCTGCCTGGAGGTGGGATAGACGGCTCAGGGTCTGCAGTATTTTACTAGTATGAAACAGCTTTCTTCACCTGGGCTCTCCCAGCTCTTCGCTGTCCTGGCTTTCAAGGGCTGGGAGACACAGTTACAAGAGCATTGGAGGTACTGTACTGCTCTCAAGCAGGCAAGAGAGCTAGAAGGGGGAGGTTGCCATTTTTAATACTCCATGCAATAAATCCCTTCCAAATCAAAATACAAAGCATAGCAGGGGGACATTCTATCCCAGCTCCCTCTCCCTGCTTTTATTAGTTTTCTAGCTTTGGGTTTAATATTTGCATCCTGCTTTTCCAACAACCAAGTTTAGCTCAAAGCGGGTCACAGCAGCAGCAAAACATTAAAAAATATATATCACTTCCATATTTGACAATAATGAGGATGTGAGTCTTTTCATGTCATTCTCCCAGGCCAGTGGAATGCTGTGCCAAGAGAGGTTCAGCAGGCGCCTTCCGTTTTAAGCGCTTGCTGAAAACTTCTCAGTTCCTTCAGGCCTGTGCAGGCAATTAAGAATACACCTTCCCGCAATAGTGTGCTGATTTCTGATTTAAACTGCACAGTTTTATGTGCTGTTATTGTAAACTGGCTTTGATTTCCCCCCCATGGGTACTGGTTTATAAATAACAAATAATACAAAAGGAATATACAATAAAAGTACACACACACATACACAAATATGTGACTCCCCACTTATGTGGGAGTTACGTTCCAGGCCCCTACATATAACTGAAATGCACGTAAGTGGGGAGCACCCTGGAGACACCTTCATGCAGGAGTGGCAGCATGGCCCAGTGATCGTGGGTGCCCGGGGCTGTGGGTGCCATGCAGTGTGCATGGCCCTGTCATGGAAATTTGTGGATGACCGGCCCCTTCATGGGGGATTTTGTGGGTGCTTGGGTGCCCAGAGCCTCAGGGGGTTGGCACCTATGCCCTTATGGCTCATGAGGAGACCCTTCCCAGCGCCCAAATAGGACATTCTCTTCATGCTCCAGGGAGGGTCTCCTTGCATGCTAGAGGTGCATGCAGGATTCTCAGCTGATGCGCAGGAGAGTGGTGGCTGCTGCGCTACCCCACGTGTCAGCTGTTAGGTGGGGAGGCTGAGCAGCCTCAGCTAAGTCCTGCTGTGCCTCCAGCTTGTGAGGAGACCCTCCCTGGAGCTCGAAGAGGCCATCTTCTTCAGGCTCTGGGGAGGGTCTGTTCGTGAGCTACAGACTTTCCAGCTCTTTCGTGGCGTTTCCGGGTTCCCCGCGCCATGCATGTGTGCAGTCAGGCACAAGTAGAGAGTTGCCTGCATATAACAACAACAAAAAAGGTATGCAGTAAATGCAGCCTTCCCACCCACGTTTTTACATTCCAAAAGTCAGATCCACCCTTGCAGCCTGAAGTGACAATCCCTTCCACCAAACTCAGGACTCCACTGCCTCTATATCCTGAATATATAAACCAGACAGACCCCTGTTGCGTGACATCTGATAAGAATGCATTTTCCGGCTCTGTCGGCAACTAATTTAGTGTCTTCTTTTTCAAACAGCCCTTTGGTTGGTGCCAGGAACATCTTCCACAAGTAAATAAACGCAAAAGATCTAGGAGCCGGTTTCCTGGCGTCGCGCCGACGATGAAGGCCAAAAGCAAAGGTGCGAAACGTCGGCACGCGATCCCCGAAGACGCCTTGCGTCAAGAGCCAGCCCCTGGCGGGGAGGAACTCGGGAAATGCTTGCGGCGCAAAGAGAAGAGGAACAATGAGGGCCAGAAGAGCCCTTCCAGGCCCGCGAAACTGCCTTGGGGAGGGAGCAAAGACAGGCGCTTGCGGAGGCTGGAGAGCAATGAGCGGGAGAGGCAGCGCATGCACAAGCTCAACGCCGCCTTCCAGGCCTTGCGGGAGGTCATTCCCCATGTGAGGGCGGAGAACAAGCTCTCCAAAATCGAGACCCTCACCTTGGCCAAGAACTATATTAAGTCTCTCACCTCAACCATTCTCCGGATGTCCAACGGGCACATCCCTGCTGCCGAGGCCCCCAGTGCGGGGAGCAGGTCCAAACTGTACGAACACTACCAGCAGCACTGCGGGGAAGACGACGATCCCGCGGGGCAGCTGCAGAAGTATTCCACCCAGATCCACAGTTTCAGGCAAGGCAGCTAGAGGGTAGACAAGGGTCTTCGCTGGTTGTGTTTCCTGTTCCCGGGGTAAGCCCCAAAAGGGTCAACCAACAGCGTGGCGAAAGGATTTAGGGAAGGCTGTGTTTGAGCCCCTTTGTTTGTTTGAAAAGACCTGTGAATTCACACCGAACAATTCTGAGGCTGGATTCTGCAATGGACAAGTGGGTTCTGCGACCAAACACATTGCAAGACAAAAGCTCTCCTGTTCTCCTCCAGAAGGCCACGACACTCGCCGCCACCTCCATTCACAGATTTCCTTTGTTTTCTTTTCTAACTAAAATTCTGCGGCTTTTGAACATACTCAGCCCTCATTGGAGTATAATTTTTGGGGTGGTAGGAGGTGGTCCCATTCAGAGGTTTTGGGCTGGATTTTATTTTATTTTTTGCATACACAAACATTTGGTGGCATCGCTTTTACCTCTGTGGTTCTGTTTTGGCAGTATTTTCACCTGCAGCCACTAACTGAGTTTGCCCTTAGAGGGAGTGTTTTCTAAATGCCTTAGGCACATCCAGAACTTTGAGCCTATCCATCTGTCCTGGAAACAGTAGCAAAGACCCAAATCCGGTGTAAATACAAGAGAAGCGGCTGTATCAGGTTAGGAACTGTTTGTGCAGTGGACATTTGAGGTTGCAGTTCACAGTAGCATAGAATTGTAGGGTTTGAAGGGACTCCAGCGTTCATCTAGTCCAACCCTCTACAGTGCGAGAATCACAGCTTAAGAAATCCCAGACAGATGGCTGTATAAAAACTTCCAGTGAAGGCAAAGCTACCACCTTCCAGTTGTTTTATCGTGCTAGGAATAAGTGCACGGAAGCTGCATTAGAGTGCGTATTTTTAAAATCTATATTTCCCTTTGTTGTTGACACCTGTTCCTTTGGCCCATCTCTCTCTCCCTAAGCCAGCTTTTAGCTCATAGTCATATTTGCTTAGTTTTCAACTCTTTTGGTGACATATTTCTTTTCCTTAAAAACAAAGAGACTTGTTCCTATGGTGAACTTTTTAAAAACTGAAATGAAAACCCTTTTGTCCTGCCAAAGAAGAAAAGAAAAAGAAGTCCAGGATGAATGTAAATAATGTGACCCTTAGCAGGCCCAGCCCAGAGAGGCGCTAAGGGCCCAGATCCAATCCCAGTTTTAAAAGATGTTGAGTGAGAATGAAGTTGGGATGCCTGAGACTGCAGAGAGCTGCTTCCTGTCAGTGTGGACAAAACAGGTCAGACAGAACACTGGTCTGACTCTATGTAAGGCAGTTCCACTTGTAGGATCTTCCATCCATAGAAACATGGAGTTGGAAGGACCTTTGGGGGTCATTTGCTCCCCACCCCCCGCTCGATGGAGGATCTATTTTGTAGGATACTACAGCAGCATCCTTGACAGATGCCCATTCAATCTCTGGGGTAGCTTGGAACGCAGGTGGTCCCAGGTTCCTTGGAAAGCCTCTGCCAGTCAGTGTAGACAATACTGGTTTGACTCAGCAGAAGGCAGGTCCCTATGCTTCTGTGCTTGAACACATCCAAAGAACACATCCCGCCACCTCCTGAGCCCACTGTCAAAAATCTCTTTAAGCTGCCTTAAAAACCAGTTATGACCATTGGCCAATGTAGCTCAGTGTGGTCTACCCAGCGTTTCTAACAAGGGTCTATCCCTACCATGCCTAGAAATGCCGATGTCTGAGCCTGGAACCTTCTGCACGCCAAGCATGTGTTCTACTGCTGAGTTTTGCATACAATGTTAACTGAATTAAAGCAACCAGGACCTTAACAGTGGGTTTTATCTGCCCTGCGGTCAGTTTGTGATGCTAGATAGGCCTTTTGTACTTACCTGTGTACAGCACCTAAAAAGGTAAAGGTAAAGGTACCCCTGCCCGTATGGGCCAGTCTTGCCAGACTCTAGGGTTGTGCGCTCATCTCACTCTATAGGCCGGGAGCCAGCGCTGTCAGCAGACACTTCCGGGTCACGTGGCCAGCGTGACAAGCTGCATCTGGCGAGCCAGCGCAGCACACGGAACGTCGTTTACCTTCCCGCTGGTAAGCGGTCCCTATTTATCTACTTGCACCCGGGGGTGCTTTCGAACTGCTAGGTTGGCAGGCACTGGGACCGAACGACGGGAGCGCACCCCACCGCGGGGATTCGAACCACCGACCATGCGATCGGCAAGTCCTAGGCGCTGAGGCTTTTACCCACAGCGCCACCCGCGTCCCTGTGTACAGCACCTAGCACAACTTAAGTCCTGAAAGTACAAGGTGCTCCCCTGTTTATAAACTGTAGGTGATGGTAAATAATGCTAACTAGCGTTTTCTTGCGGCTTCTGTGATCAGAAGAGGAATGGGGAATCAAGGGTGTGATTAATTAAGCTAATTCTGAGCCAGTGTTGTAAAAAAATAAAATAAAGCCCTTTGTACTGTGAAGTATAATAAAAGGATGAAAGGAATTATTAAATCAAGAATCGGTTTTGTTTTCTTCTTGTTTTTAACTTGCCATTGCTCTTTTCTCGAGTTAACTACGGATTCAAACTCTGCACCAGTGTGGATAACAGAACAGGTTTATAGGCAGTTCTCCTTGCAAGTCCAAGCAGGAGCTTCTCTACTCCAGGGATGGGGAAGCAGTGGTCCTCCAGATTCTACGGGTCTACAACTCCCATCATCCAGGGCTGACAGGAGTTGGAGCAGGATCCTTGCACCCCCCCCCCCACTGCTACTAGGAATGGGTAAATTTGTCGGTTTGGGTTTCTCTCAGCTGCTGATTTCCCCCCACATCCATATAATTTTTTTAAGAAAGATTTTATTAAAATTTGGAAGAGAGATTAATGTCAGATATATTTTTATCAAGACGAAAAAGCTAATCTAAACAAAAACACACACCAGAAAGAGAAAAGGGGAAAACAGATGATGAGAAAAGAAAAAGAAAAAGAAAAAGAAAGAGAAATAAAGGAAAAGGAAAAGAGAACTTCTGGTTCTTCATTTGTCAGCTATATGTAGTAGTGGTAGTGGTGGTAACAAAATAATAATAATAATAATTGTCAGGGGTTCAGGAGCAGAGGCAAGGGCAAGGGAGGAAACAGAGAGCGAGGGGGAGGAGGCAGAAGAAAAGATGAGTGATGACGACGACCCGAGATCTCCGAGTCTTTCCAGTGAATCAGAAGATTCACAGAAAGGAGCACCAGTGGCCAGGGCAAGGGGGGAGACTAGGGGGACACCCCAGGAAGATAGAGCCAGAGGGGACTCAGAGGAGAGCAGTTGGAAATCGGGACCAGCGTCACCGCCAGAGAGCAGGGAAGAGGAAGGGCGCCAGGGATCAAGCACTGGCAGCTCACAACAGGAGGGAGGGCACGAGTCAGGAGTGGCCACACCTCCATCGGGGAGCGAAGAAACGGTTAGACGGAAGGTGGAAGGTTGGGCGCGCGCGCCAAGTTCAAATGCACAGGAAGGTGGCGCAGTAGGCAGCCCGGAAAGGGAGCCAGGTCCTAAAGCCCGGCGCAAGGAGACAGGAGGGTCCGGGGGGGTCAGCGTCAGAAGAGTCCAGGAAGGAAGAGACCACGGGGGGCAGAGGGACCCAGAGAAGAACAGTCAGGCGGAAAAGGTGGGACAGGGCTAGGATATTAAGTTGGTGTACAAGGGGCGGAGACTCAGACGGAGCTTCGCCGGTCTAGCCATAAGACGTAGAGTTGCACGCAGCAGCTTGAGAATGGAAACTGTAACTCAATAAAAGACTTTTACAAGTGACCGCTGGCTAGCGTGATCCTCTGTGAGCTAGGATCTGGAAGCAGCTCTGATAATAATAATAATAATAATAATAATAATAATAATAATAATAATAATAATAATAATAATATGTCACCCATCTGGCTGGGTTGCCCAAGCCACTCTGGGTAGCTTCCAACAAATTAAAACACATCCACTTGCTCACAAATTTATTGACAGCTGCATGAATTATGATAGCTAGGAAGTGGAAGGGGCAAGGAGAGTATAAAATGGAAGAGCGGTATAAAGAGGTGTGGGATATAGCTATTAATGATAAATTAACATGTGCCATTAAGGTAAGACTGGGAATGTGCAGGAGAAATGATTATGAGGATATATGGAGGATGTTTGTAGAATTCAGACTGTTAAAACCCTTAGCCAGGGTTTCTTTGGAATGAAGGTCAGTGAGACTGTGGAGTCTTTGGAACATATGATTCTATCTCTATATGAGCATGGGGTGTGTGTGTGTGGAGAGACTAACAGCATTATCCCCCCAACAGATCTTGCTCCCCCAAAGTCCAGTGCAGAGCAGCACAGAACTAAACACCTCTCTGTCTCTCTCTGTGTGTGGAGCTTCTCACGTTCAGGTTTCCAGCTTTCTCTCTCAGACAACCCTCCAGTCCAGTCTCCTTTGGCTTATTGCTCTCCACCACTTAGCTGTAGCTGTTGCAAGTTTGAAAGGGGCACAGCGTACCATCCGGAACGACCCTTAGTGATACCAAGCACATCTGCAGGATTTTTACATTTTTCATTTGGTGCAAACCAATTTTTGTAAAGGTGCCTTGCTGAAAAGTATGGAATGCAAACGTGGGTGCACACACGTACAAACACACACACACACACACACACACACACACACACACACACACACATTTTACTGCAGTCCATGGAAAGTCAAACACAAGGCTAAACCAATTCTGAAATACTTTAATTGCAAAGTAAACAAACATGGGCTTCTTTTGAGGTAGAGGGGGGGGCAGCTCTCCACGCAGCTGTTATTTTGACATGAAAGCTCCTCGGTTGAAAACCAAACTGGAATTGTAGCTGCGGTTGAGGCTACAGCCTGTTACATTTACCCTGGCTCTCTGCCTCATTATATGACTCTGTGAATGGGTTTGTCACATTCATAGATTAATGCATCCCAGGGGTGGGGAACCTGTGGCCCACCAAGGATTGTCTAGTCCAGGGGTAGGCAATCTAAGGCCCGGGGGCCGGATCCAGCCCAATCGCCTTCTAAATCCGGCCCACGGAATGTGTCCTTTTATTTAAAATGCACCTCTGGGTTATTTGTGGGGCCTGCCTGGTGTTTTTACAAGAGCAGAATGTGTCCTTTTATTTAAAATGCATCTCTGGGTTATTTGTGGGGCACAGGAATTCGTTCATCCCCCCCCAAAAAAAAATAGTCCGGCCCCCCACAAGGTCTGAGGGACAGTTGACCAGCCAAGGCTGAAAAGGGTTGCTGACCCCTGGTCTAGTCCAACCTTCTGCAATACCTTACCATCAATAGCTGCTGGAGTTTTTCCTTAGCACTTCCATTAATACCGTCTTCCCACCTCAAAAAAAAATCTGCTGCCCAGTTAATTAGGAAGGACCTCTTTAGCCTATATTGTTTTGAACATAAATAAGATATACCAATGTCCCCCACACACATATCTGTGCATCATTTGCGGAATGGGTGCAGGATGCATAATGGGTGCAGGATCCTATTTGCATAAGATAATACAAAGAATCACACATCCCTGCATGCCTTCTTGCTGCACTGAATATCTGAAGTTATTCTTATCTTTGCTAATATAAATCACCATTATCACGCTGCCTTTAAAATGCCGTTTGTCACATCCTTCACCGATGCTGCTTATGAGAACCAGAAGTTTAGAGAGACACAACACTCCATTGCGAAGGAAAAGGAAATTGTGAAAAAGGCATATTCCCTGCTAGGGATTATTAGGAATTGCAGGTAAAACTGCGGCTTTCATAATGCCGTTATACAAATCTTTGGGGTGACTGCGTTGGGAACAGCGGGTATACTTCTGGTCACTACACCTCAAAAATGGGTATTGTGGAGTTGGGGAAATGTCCAGCAAAGCACAGTGAAAATGACCCCAGAGATTAAGATGGCCCAGGAGAATAATAATAATAATAATAATAATAATAATAATAATAATAATAATAATTTTTATTTATACCCTGCCCTCCCCAGCCAGGACCGGGCTCAGGGCGGCCAACAACCAATAATAAAAACAGGTTGATTGAAATACAACTTTAAAAACAAGATTAAAATACAACACTAAAACATTAAAATGCCGCCTCATCACAGGAGAAGAAAGGAAAAAAGAGAGAAAGAAAGAAAGAAAGAAAGAAAGAAAGAAAGAAAGAAAGAAAGAAAGAAAGAAAGAAAGAAAGGAAAGAAGGGGAGGGAGTCAAATTGATTCTAAGCCAAAGGCCAGGAGCAACAATAAATGCTTGAAGCATTTAGGACTTTTTGATTTAGAGCAAATGCTCTCAATCGACGTGTATGATATTATGCACTGCATGGTAAAAGAGAATAGAGACAGGTTTTTTCTCCTTGTCCCATAACACCATAGCACATGAACACCCAGTAAAGCTGAACGTTGAGTCGGGTCAGCCAAAAGAACGTACTTCTTCATGCAGTGCTTAGTTAAACTATGGAACTCACTCCCACTGGAGGCAGCGAAGGCCCCTAACTTGGATGGATTTAAAAGATTTGACAAATTTGTGGAGGAGGATGTTATCAGTGACTGTGAGCCACAATGGCTCTGGTCTGCCTCCACCAGCTGCTGGAAACTGCAGGCAGGGAAAGTGCTCTTGCATTTGGGTCGTGCTTGTGGGTTTCCCATAGACATCTGGCTGGCCATCGTGAGAAGAGGGTGCTGGAGTAGATGAGCCATTGGCCTGGCCCAGTCTCCAATGCTGGTCCAACTCAGAGCCCACCCATTGGAATTAATTGACACAACGATCTTAGTGCCATGAACGACAATGGGTCTATCTCTGAGTAGAAGTCAGTTGGTGTCAGGCATGGAGAGTCCTCCCCTCCCTTCTGTAACTTCCAAGGTAAGAATTAAGGAGCAGTTGATAGATTTATAGTCCTTTTATTACAGCGTCATGTTGCAAACACAAATACACAGCTCTCCGCAAGGAGGCCAG